GGGGGTCACCTTCGCGCCGCGGGGTCCCCCGCGTCCGCGCCTGCAGCCTCTTGGACGGAGAGTTGGGGGGCTGGCCAGGGGGTCGGAGCCGCGCGGGAGGAAGCAGCGCGCGCGGTCCCCGGAGCTGGGGAGCTGGAGGGCCGTGTGCGGATGTGGGGTGCGGGGAGCGGGGCCCGCTAGGCCTAGGCTCCCAGGGGCACGCAGACTCCTGGTCTCCCCGTTTGCGGCTCCACCCGCCCTGAAAATAATGTTAAAGACCCCGCGGGTGCGGAGGGGCATTGGCCCAGGAGGGGGGACAGGCCCTAGAGAATGAAAGGGTTCAGACAGACACACACACTCGGCCAGTCCCCCCCCTTCTGGTCCCCCCGACGGAGATGCTAGACATGCGGGTGAAGTCACCTTGGGTCCTCCCGCCCCAGGGAAGCCAGCAGGGCCTGGCAGAGGCACCGCCGTCTCCACTGAGACTTGCCCAAGTTGCAGCGTCGCGTGCAAGTAAAAGGTGGCAGTGGCTTTAGGGCGCAGAGCGCTGGGCCCGGTGGTTGGGCGGCAGCAGGTGAGGGAAGCTGGGCCTCCACGGCCCATTAGATACAGCTAGAGAGAGCCGCCACCCAACTGGAAGGCGCGTCAAAAGGAAAAATGATCTTCAGCCTCAAGCCCAGACACACAAAAGGCAGGCGGAGGCAGAAAGGAACCTGGCACAGGACCGCCTGGGCCCTCTGTTGGTTAATAGGTGCAAGGGATTTTGTGTCCGGGAGATACGGTGAGAAGTCTAATAGGCAGTCTCGGTGGTGAGGAGGAGGAGGAGGAGGATGAGAGAAGGGGGTAGAAGCAATATTTGAAGCAAGGGTGGCCAAGAATTTCACAAAACTGATGAACGCTATCAAGCCCTGGATTAAAAAGTATTTTGAATGCTAATCATGATTTTTAAAAAGCACATTATAGTTTTCAAAAAGAACAAAAGAGAAAACAAAGGCAGAAACACATTATCATTAAAGGTGCAGCAAAAAGGACTGATCACTGAAGTAACAACAGGAAGAAAATAATCGGCAGCCCCAAACTCTAAACCGAGCAAACTATCTTTCAAATAAAAGAGAAATATAAAGTTAATTTTACGAGAGACTTGAGTCGTCACCCTTCATAAAATCATTTGGAAGGAAAATATTTTTTTATTCTCCTGAAATAATCTTTCTCCTGGGAATTCCACCCCACCTCTGGGCAGTGAGGCTTTTAAATCAGGTCTATGGCCAACTCACCAGGTAACTTGGGGATGATCTGAGCTGAACATGATCTGAGGCCAATCTCCATGTCAGGGAGGAAATTTACTTTAATATCTGAAAATCCTCTGATAAATTCTTAAACCCTGAGGGGTTGGCCCTGTCATCCCTTCAGGGTGCCTGATAACCATGTGGTAAATTAAAGGTAGTTCTGAGAAATTTTCAACACATTCATGACCTTTTGTGATGTTGAAACAGTCATTTAACTATTAATCACTATTAATCTTTTCTGTCAATAAAGGAATCTTCATTTGGAGGGAGAAAAAGATGAAATATTGTTAAGTCTTATAAAACACCAAAGAAAAGGTGACACATAAATTCTTAAAAACAAATAGTTTAATTTCATTTTTATCTTGGAAAAAAAGCAGTGTAAATTTAAAACGAAATAACAAGTACTTTGATATGTCATCATGTGTCATTTTTTATGGTACTACATTTATTGAAAGTGTGAAGATACAGAACCTTTACAAATATCTGGAATTAAAAATTACCATTGAAGGTGAAAACAGATTGGCTTTAAAAAGTCAATTTAGTAAATATTCCCTGTTTGCTGTTTGTTTCTATGAGAATATTTGGTATAAACACTCTACACAATAAGGCAAACTCTTGGAAAAGTCATTAATAAAATTTTATGAAAAAAGTGTTCAGTCCTAATTTAATTTGCAGAGTCACTGGAAAAGTACATCAGGTGAGTGGAGCGGTTTCAGAGGTCCAGTTTCTATATAGAAGGAGCCCTTCTCCTGTAGAAAACAGGTTTTCCTGATTAGCATAAATCAGATATAAAAGTTTAAAATATACAAAGATCTCTACAGGGCCCTGGCAGATGGTAGTTCCCAGTCAGGGTGTGTACGGGAAAGCAACGAATTGATATTTCTTTCTCACATTGATATGTCTCTCTCTCCCTTCCTCTCTCTCTAAAATTAATAAGCATGTCCTGGGTGAGCATTAAAATGTACATACCTATATATACACATATATGTGTGTGTACATTTCTATAGTGCCATAAAAATGTCATTCTATTTTTAATTTGCATTATGAAAGTAAATGTACACTTNATACACATATATGTGTGTGTACATTTCTATAGTGCCATAAAAATGTCATTTTCTATTTTTAATTTGCATTATGAAAGTAAATGTACACTAAGCATTACATATTTAATGAATATGAATCATGTAAATTTTGTCATGGCATTTAAAGTTGGCTGTGAAGCCCGGATGGTGTGGCTCAGTGGTTCCTGAAGCCATGAACCTGGAGATCGGGGTTCAGTTCCCCATCAGGAAACATACCCAGGTTGCAGGCTCCTCAACCCCCAGCAGGGGGCGTGCAGGAGGCAGCCGATCCATGACTCATCACTGATGTTTCTCTCTCTCTCCCTCTCCCTTCCTCTCTCTGAGATCAATAAAAACATTAAAAAATAAAGTCTGTAAAGTATTTTTAAAGTCATAGGCAATACTGAAGTTGTAATAAAACACTTTAATAACTGATATTAGTAATCAACCTCAAAATTAGGAACAGAGAAGTAACTATCAGTAGTGTCCCAAAGTGAGCGCTTTTACCTTCTGCGAGGCCGTAAGTTCTTAGTGCTGAGCCGTAATTGTGAGGTACTGTTTGCCATGATGCAGGATTTCAAGGTCAGCTCAGAGGTCAAGCTCAACGGTAAGTTTGAGAGGTTCTCACTTCCTTCACCCTGACCTTCACCACCTCTTGACCTTCAATATATTCACCTTCACCTACTTCACCTTCCCCCAACTCCTTCCTCTACCTTCTCCTTCCCCACCTTCCCCTAGATCTTCCCCTTGACCTTCCCCACCTTCCCTGTCACCTTCAACTTCACCACAACCTTGACCACCTTCACTTTGACTTTCACCATCTTCACCTTCCTTTCACGACCTTCACCAGCAACCCGCTCCCCCACCTCCTTCGCTCGTGCCAACTTCACCTGGGCTCCATCGCCTTCGCCGCCCACACTTTGACCATTGCCCACCACCTTGACCTTTGCCCTGACCTCCCCCATTCCCACCCTTCGTCTTCGCCACCTTCACCTGCACCCTCTCCACCCTCACTCCGAACCTCGCCCTCTTCACCTGCACCTTGACTCGCGTCACATTCACGTCCATTCTGACCTTCACCTTCAAGGGAAGTCTTCCACTTTCACCTTGACCGCCTTCAGCCTGACCTTCATCACCTTTACCTGCATGGCTGCCACCACCTTCACCCAGCTTTCCTTCCCCATTGCCAACCTTCGCCACCTTGCCCCTGGCCACCACCTTTGCCCAGCTTCTCCACCAATGCAACCTTCGCCTCCACCTCCTTGCCTTTGCTGCTTTCAACTTGACCTTCACTGGCTAAACATTCCCCTTGGTCACCGTCACGGCAACTTTCAGCACCTTGAGACTCACCACTGTCACCACCTTTGTCTTGCCCAGAACCAACTCCATCACCTTCACCTCCTTGGCCGTTCCCCCCACTTTGAGCTTTACCACCTACACCCCTTTCACCACGACCTCCAGTACCTTGACTTTCTCTACCGTTATCCTCACTTTGCTGATGAAGGCAGTGGGGACCAAGGTGACAAAGGTGTGGCTACAAGACATGGCTCTCGCTGGCTCTGCACAGCTGCCCGCGTTTCTGATTCTGCGTAATACCCGCAACACCAAGGAACAGGGTCACGTACTATTCTGGCTCCAGAGGTGGTCGGAGGCCCCGCAGCTTCATTTCATCGAGTCCTTTCCAGTATTTAAAATTGTTGTCCAGGTTCTGCAGTAACTCTGGTAGGTCTACAAAGGCTGGGGGGACAGAGGGGATGTGAGATCTTTCCACAGCCTCGGTCTAGAGGTTTGGCTTTCTAAGGAGAGAGCATTTGGAAGAAAAGGGACAGAGGCATGTGCAGAACACCCGAGGGGACACGCAGCATGAGCCAGGTTTGCTGAAGGTAAGTCCTGCACTGACACCAGCAGCCCCTCTGGGACCTGTCCAGCTGACGGCTCTGATCAACAGAACTGAGGGAGCCCATCTGCTTAATTACCACAAAACACAGTATCCGCTACTTCCTACGGCCGTCGGTTATCTAGGAAATGCCCTCTGGGAGCTCCTACCGTCCCAGGCGTCGAACATGGCTGTGATGAAGTAGTCAATGAAGGAGATCTGGGACTTGGGGATGCTGCAGGTTTTCCTGTCAAAAGCCGGCATCACCACAGGTAAGTCCTGCTGCTTTTCTTCATCGGTCTGCAGAGCACAAAACGCCAGGATTACAAGACCCAGTATCTGCTCCGCTCCAGATAGAGTCTGAAGTGGCCATGGCCCTTCGTACTTGCTAAGGTGGCTCCTGGCGACCTGTGTCCCCTGTTCAGGATCTTAGGTCCCTGAGGGAGAGTTTACAGCAATGTACCCTGAAGACCGCCAGCTGGTCTGGGAGGGCTGATGGTGTAGTGCTGGGGGACGTCTCCTCAGACGGGAGCTGAGAGGGTCAGTGGCTGAGCGAGTGCCATGTAACCTGCGCTCCCAGGACCGAGACGCTGTGAGTGGTGAGGGACTGAATCTACTGCCGACCCCACGGATATTGCTCCCATCCCAGGAAAAAACAAACGAAGGGGCTTAAGAGGCTGCGCTTACCTGAGAAAAGTACTCTTCCGAGATGCGCGCAGCCCACTCGATGCACTGCTCCAGGGCCCGGCAGGGGTTGGACACGTCCGCGCATTTGATCATCATTCGTTTGATCAGGGTCCGGTTCTCTGGAGTCCTGAGCAGAGCGTTTATGGCTTCTTGGTCTTTCTCAGCTTCCTGAAACATTCAGTGACATTTAAAATAATCAGAGCAGGGCCCCCGGTGCCCCGCCCTGTCTTACTGGTGTGGTCCCACTGTTTGCACAGCAAGGAGACTCCGACAAGTCTGGGAAGGGCCCGGCTACAGGGAGGAAACCAAGCCTGGGAAGTATAGGGTCCTCTCTGTGGCACTAGGGAAGCAGGAGCCGTGGGCCAGGCGACAACCAGCCCTATCCAGGGCAGCAGGGCAGGAGCCAATAAAAAGGGCTGGGGTGGGCGTGTGCATCTGAAGTGCCTGGGAAGGGAGGGAAGTCAAAGGCAGGCTGACAAGCGGGGAGAGCCGGTGAGGGGAGCCGAGTTCTCAGCGGAATGTGTGGAGGGGTGATAAGCTGGAAAGCCAGGGAGAGACAACAGAGCTGCAGAAGTAAAATGTGGCCCGGCTGGCGTGGCTCAGCGGCTGAGTGCCGACCTGGGATCCAGGAGGTCAGGGTTCGATTCCCGGTCAGGGCACAGGCCCGGGTTGCAGGCTCCTCGGTCCCCAGCAGGGGGCGAGCAGGAGGCAGCCGATCCATGACTCTCATCACTGATGTTTCTCTCTCCCTCTCCCTTCCTCTCTCTCTGAAATCAATAAAGACATATTTTAAAAACAGCAAAAAACAACACTGAAATCTTAAAAAAAAAAAAAAAAAAGTGAACTGTGATCCTGGCCTAATAGGAGGTGTTGTCCCTGTGAGCGCCAGACTCTCAGGGTGGTGACAGGAGCTGGGGAGGGAAGGTCGTGGGGAAGGCTGTGAGCTGGTAGCAAGCGTTTCAGTGCCCGCAGGGTGGGTCGTGGGGCAGATATACGGGCCTCAGAGGGAGAGGGTCGATGAAAGAGCAGCCTCCAGGTGCTGACCTCATGGTGAATCCAGGAAAATGGACACCGTGTGTGAAACGCCTGCTCCGTGCCCACCCACCAATCCTATGCCTTGAGGTTAAATGTGCCCATTCTACAGGCAGGGAATGGTAGGGCAGAGTTAGGTGGAAACTTGGGTCTATCTGCCTCTGCAGTGTGGAGTCCATGCCTCAAATCCAGAAACAAGGGGCAACAACGTCACCCTCCTGTGACGTGGCCAACAGAGGATGGTTGCTGGCACCACAGAATGTGCACAGTGGGGAGTGGCTGGTGGGAGACCCCAAGGGCCAACCCGCCCCAGAATGTCCAAGGAGAGGGGAACGGTCCACCCTTCTCAAGTACGTTTAACTAAAACTTGCCCCTCCCTCCAGTTTTTTCCCTGCCGAGCTTTTGTACTTGAAAGAATCTAACGAGCGGAAGTTAAATTCGATGAGCCAGCCACACACAGGGATGAGGGCCCCAAACACGGGCTCTCGGCCCCCTTACCTCATTTTCTTCCAGTTCTGCCAAGGGCTTATTGATGCTGTTGACAAACTTGTTGAAGTGCTCGAAGTGCTTCGTCATCTCCGTGGCCAAGACCATGTCGATGATGATCTGGCGCAGCGTCCGGTAGTCATTCCTGTTTCAGACGACAAGCAAGAGGCTGCTGCCGGTCACAGACCCAGACCAGACACTCGGGGACTCCTGAGAACGAATTGCCTGTTATCTGTGATACCTGTCCACGGTGCCTAAAGTTCTAGTGTCACCACCGGAAGGCACACTTTAGAAGAATGTGGAAGCCCGGCCGGCTTGGCTCAGTGGTTGAGCATCAACCTATGAACCAGGAGGTCATGGTTCGATTCCCGGTCAAGGCAAATGATCCCCAGCAGGGGGAGTGCAGGAGGCAGGCGATCAATGATTCTCTCTCACAATTGATGTTTCTCTCTCCCCCTCTCCCTTCCTCCATCTGAATCCAAAATTAGACAAGGGATAAAAAAGTGATTATTTAAAAATGTGATGTGCTACAAAGAAACTTGGGACTGAATAATTAGTGTGAGAGGTCGGGGAAGTAACATGTGAATGGAGACAACAAGGAGACGCTTGCTGCCCCAGGAGGGCAGAGTGGAGTATCCTGGGCAGGTGACAGGTTGTCTGAATTCCTAAAGGCCCAAGGTGCGAGCATTATACTTCCTGTCTCCAAATGTCAAGACACAGAGGAGCTGTGCTAAGTGAAAGGAGCCAGTCTCAAAAGACCGCGCACTGACTGTGCTCCCATTTCTACCCAACGCCCAGAACTGGTGAATCCATGCAGACGGAAAGCAGGCCAGTGGTGGCCTAGGGCTGGAGGAGCTGGGTAGTGAGCAGTGACCGCTAATGAGTTTGATACGTTGGGAGGGTGATGGAAATGCCCTAAAATTCATGGTGGTCAGGGTTGCACTACTGTCAATAAAGACCACTGTACCCTTCAAATGGGTGAACAGTATAGTGTGTGAATTTATCTCAATAAAGCTGTTAAAAGAGAGGAGAGAGAGAGAGAGAGAGAGGGACCCAGGTACTTCCCCAGTTATCCCTCACCTCTCCATGTTTTTGAAGATGTTACATTTATCGTCTCTCGTGCTCAGCTGGAAGGCCAGGGCCGCGTGGTGACTCTCCAGCACGGCGATGTCATTGTACAGAATGGCCAGCTCACTCCCAGAGTTGCACAGGAAGGGGTTGGTTCTCCCAGGGTGGTCCAGGTCATGGATGGCGGCTGCAATGAGGGCAGCAGCCTCATCAACAGAATCTAAAGTTTGCTGGAAACAAGAGATCTTTTATTTTATTTTATTTTATTTTATTTTTTAAAAAAAAGTATTGATTTCAGAGAGAGGAAGGGAGAGGGAGAGAGACAGAGAGAGAAACATCAGTGATGAGAGAGAGTCATCCATCAGCTGCCTCCTGCACGCCCCCTGCTGGGGATCATGTGCCCTGACTGGGAATTGAACCATGACCTCCTGGATCATATAGGTCAATGCTCAACCGCTGAGCCACACTAGCCGGGGAACAAGAGATCTTTTAAAAGTCGGGGCACTGCATTGAAAGCAAGGAAGCCTCTGTATCAATTTCTTTCCGCCCTATTACTTTAAGGTAAGAATATTTCAGATTTCCGAGAAAATCATATTGTTGAGCAAATCCAGCTTCCCTGTCTCCACTGTGAAAGGTAGATCTTTGCATGTTTTCTGGGAAACATGACCAGATTGTCAGTCTCACACAAGTTAAGGACTTTAGCAAAATACAGGGAATGGAGAGGAGTGAACGGCTGAATTGTATGATGTGAATTATATGTTATTAAATGCTGTTAAGATTGTTCTAAGTTCAATTTCTGAAAATATATATCTGTATGTTACCTATAGAGTAGTTCAGAAGCAATAAATTACAGCAAACATTTGGTTGTCTTCATGTGCTGATCCATATTGACACAGACCTCCCTCTCCTGCCATTTATTTCTGTACTTTATGAAACAATCCTCTCTCTGGGCTTTATTCTATCAAGGTCTTGGGAATGATCTTTCTTTAAAAACAAAACAAAAAGGCCCGGCCGGTGTGGCTCAGGGGTTGAGCATCGACCTATGAACCAGGAGGTCACGGTTCGATTCCCGGTCAGGGCACATGCTCGGGTTTCAGGCTCCTTGATCCCCAGTAGGGGGCGAGCGGGAGGCAGCCGATCAGTGACTCTCCTGATTGATGTTTTTCTCTCTCTCTCCCTCTCCCTCCCTCTCTCTGACATCAATAAAGACATTTTTTTTAAAAAAAGAGTGAGACCCCCAGAAGCACAGCCCCCTCCTCTTCTTGCTGGCTTTCTCCCTGGGGACCAACCCCTGGCCCTCATACTCCCGTTGAATGGCTGGGGTCGTGTCCCGAATGAACACAACAACTCCCTAGAGCCGCAGCCTTCCTGGGCCGGGCTGCACGCGGGTCACTCCTGAGCAGTCACACTGTGTGGCAACTGGGCGGGGGCAGAGGCAGGACGCGGGCTGCTCACCTTTATCCTGTTTCTGCACAGGAAATAGGCGGTGGCGTGGAGCACGTCTGCAGCGTGTGTGGAATTGTGGTAGGGGTTAGAAGAGCGGTAATTGGCCTCGATAATTTGCAGCCACGACCTCAGCGTTGTCTCAGAGCAGTTTAAGAATTCACAGATTCCAAAGCGAGTAAAGATTTTGAGACCGAGGAAAGTTAAAGGCCTATAAGGAAAAACAATTCATGGCATTAAAGCAAAGTCATAGGCAAAGTGTTTGGAGCCCCGTGCAGGTTCAGATCCAACAGACAAACCTGAGTCAGACTTTGGAGGGTGAGGGCAGCAAAGTGGAGCTTGGTGCTTGCCTCTCTGTTGTCCTTTCTCTCGGGAGCTGGCACCAAGCCTGGCTGGAGCCCAGTTCCAATTCTGGCCTCAGAGCTCTTGCCTGGTGCTCCCCACTGGCTGGGGGAGGGTCCAGACTCCTACTGCACTAGTGGGTTCCTCAAAATCAGCGTGTTTGTCCCGGCCAGAGTGGCTCAGCAGTTGAGCATTGACCTAGGATCCAGGAGGTCGCGGTTGGATTCCCGGTCAGGGCACAGGCCAGGGTTTCAGGCTCGATCCCCAGCGGGGAGCGTGCAGGAGGCAGCCGATCAATGACTCTCTCATCGTTGATGTTTCTCTCTCTCCCTCTCCCTTCCTCTCTCTGAGATCAATGAAAATATATTTTTAAAAAATCAGTGTGCATGTAGTCAAGCTAAACATGTGCCGCCTTGAACCCCACTTCTCCCCCTTTGGACCCTGCTGGACCCATGCCATTGGCTGGATGTCCTGCCTAAGGATAGCAACAGTTTCGAACAACTGCACATGAGCCAGACCCTGTCATATGCCATCTGATGGCCTCAACAATCTGGAGGTGGGTGTTGGATACGAGAAGGTTCCCTCTTACAAGATGACCAACTGGCCGAGTCCATGGCCTAGCTCGTGGCTTGGAAGGTCAAAGACCTCTGGCCCTTCCGAGGCCGTGTCCAGAGGCGACGATTGGGCTCAGGGGACCTGAACTGACCTGCCTTGGCCTGACTCGCATGAAAGCCTTGTCACTAGTATGTCAACCAGGAGCTTAAAGATTTGTCTGCCATGGGGTCTTTTTTCCCACTGTCTTGGCCCACGTCAGGGTCAAGCACATGGAATGTACTTGGAGGCTGACTCGCGCTGAGCATGAGCAAAGGGCAGGCAGGGCCACCTTGGGGACAGTTCACCCAGATTGGGATGAGTTGTCTCATGGTGATCCCAAGAGAGCACAGCTCTCCAGTGACTGCCGGCCGCAGACAGGGCCCTACACCCTAAAGGGCGTCCTGGCCAGCACCAGCCCCGTAGCATCCCTCTCCTGTGAGCCAAGTCAGCCACACCCGTCGGGTTGGCAGTTCCTTTCCAGCTGGATACAAGAGCACAGGTACAATCCCAATCACGCCCAGTCCAGGATGACCTGAGTTTTTGGTGTCCCCGTGCCTGTCGCCCATGCAGCAACCAGATCTGGGGATAGCTCGTCTCAAATGTGTGTTGGTGTGTTTGTAATTTTTCTGCTTCAGGCTCTGAATGGGCTCTTTGCTGCTATCTCTACCCATCCCTACCTGCAGGAATAGTCAATATCCATATTTTATGGGAGAAAAAAACCTGCTATGGAGCCCCTCGCTCAATCTCACGCTTCCGTGAGTGTCTCCTCAGTGGCCNCTGCAGGAATAGTCAATATCCATATTTTATGGGAGAAAAAAACCTGCTATTTGGAGACGGGAGCCCCTCGCTCAATCTCACGCTTCCGTGAGTGTCTCCTCAGTGGCCGTGACCAGGCAGACTCTTCCTCTGGCTTCTCATGGATTCCCTCGCTGGTGACTCACGGTCACCTGCCCCTCGGTCCCGAGCCTCCTCCCCAGGGGCCAGACACCAGCTCTGTGCAAAACCCACACTCCTGGGGTGGCTTTCTCCACACAGGCCCTTTGCATCAAGATCTCTGTCTGCTGAGCTCCACGTGGACTCACCTTTTCTGAGTGGCAGCCTCCAGTTTAAAAATATCAAAGTCCCAGAACTGCTCGTTCTCCATGGCCTGCGCAATCGGCGGCGGGACATCTTGCAGGGACATGGGCAGGATTAAACCGCTTGGAATTTGCTGAAGGGCTGGAGGGAGATGGAATTCGGAAAACGGTGTCACAGGCTTTCAGGTGTTAACTGTTTCTGAGAAAGGACAGTGCTGCTTCGGGGGACAGTGCTGCTTCGGGGGACAGTGCTATGATTCCGAGGTTTCGTCACATAGCAAGAAACCATCTGAAAAATTTAACTGGAAAACTAATCTTCATCACTTAAGCTTGACTCAAATGTTAATAGTGACCCAAAAAGTTAAAAGAGGAAAAACTTACCTTTTGTTGACAGAACATACTCATTCCCAGATTGTCTTCGAAAACCATCCTGAAAAAAATCAAACAAACACGAAAAAGAGAGGTCGCTACTGTTCTTTACTTTTTAATTTTTTTAATTTGCTTTATTGGTGAAAGGATTACAGATGTCCCTCATTTCCTACCCTTTACGTATATATTCTTTCTGTTTCAATGGAGTATAGGGCATTTCACATATTTTTTTCCACACACCCCCCCATTTTCAAAATCTTTAAAGCAATTAAATTTTATTGAAATGAATTCCTCATAGAAGCCCTAAGCAAAAGCAGAGCCCTGGCTCAGCAGCTCAGCACACTGTCTAGGATACGTGCCTCCCTCCTCTGCTCCGAGCTGAGGTCCCTGGGTGGAGGTGGCAGGTGGGTGACACTCTGGACTAGCCTGAGGTGCAGAGGGTGCCACATGGGCCAGCCTATGAACACATAACTGGAGGGCAAACAGGAGCAGCAGGCTCCAGCCAGCAGCCTGGTCGATACTCACAGATATCAGGCCCCCAACGAGGTCATTGGCGTGAGGATCATCATCTTTAGCACCGAACTGTGGTGAGTACAACTCGGTGGACCTTAGAATTTCCAGCACGCGGTCTAAGGCTTCTGTGACAGTCACGGAGCTGTTTTCCTGGGCAGCATTGATGATATTGATTACCTACAACGTGGAGGGGAAAGACTTGAGTTTCGTAACCTTAAAAATAATGGGACAGCAACCCAGAGAGCCGGGCTGGCAGTGGTGCTCAAGGCTAACTTAAGACCCGGTCACTGTTGCCCGGCTGGTGTGGCTCAGCGGTTGAGCATCAACCTGTGAGCCACGAGATCGCGGTTTGTTACCCTGTCAGGGCACATGCCTGGGTTTCGGGCTCGATCTCCAGCAGGGGGCGTGCGGGAGGCAGCCCATCAATGACTCTCTCATCATTGATGTTTCTCTCTCTCTCCTTCTCCCTTCCTCTCTCTGAAATCAATAAAGACATATTTAAAACCTGTGGTTACTGCTGCGGGTCTGTTTCCTCTCATCGGAAACAATTAACTGGGCTCCACGAAGACCGGCATGAACTCCTCACCTTGGTGATGGGCGTCTCGACAGTCAAAGAATGGATCCGGGCCATGGAGGAGTGTCGTCTCTGGCTGGCCACTGTGGGGAGGTCACAGGAGCAGAGATGAGGGCAGGCACAGCCTCAGGCGCCTGTCTTGAGCCAGGGCTCCACGTCCCCCCTCTCCCCCGCCTCCAAGGCCACCATGTGCCCAGCTGCACAGTGAGGGGGCAGGTCCAGAGCTTTGAGGGTCGCTGAGCTTCCTTCCCATCCTAACAAGCCAACTCTGCTTCCTTCCTTCGGTTCTAGGCACGAGGAGGCACTTGCCCCCCAGACCGAACCGATTGATGTCAGAGAGAAAACAGGAGACGAGCCAGCACACCAAGGCCAAACAGCCTCTTTTTGTGTCTCTGATAATAAGGCTTTATGAGTCTCCAGCCTGCTGCTGTCCGGACGCAGGATCGCTCCGGAGGACAATGCCACACAGGCTCTTTGTGTCGGGTATGGCAGGAGCTATCCATACAGGTCACCATGAGCTGAAACACATGTGTTTCTGCTACAGTTTTCCAGGCAGCCTGCTTTCCACCGTTAGGCTTCATCAAGACTAATCAGGTAAATACCTTAACCGAGGAGAGCAGCAGCTCCTAGGCTCTAGAGTTTGTTTTTTTGTTGGTCCTGCAAGATGTGGCTCCCTTGGGTGGGGGTGGGGGTAGCCTGGGCAGGGCACAGGCAGGAAGAAATCGTCACATAGAGGTCTGTGTGTCTCCCTGAAAGCCCCACAGTCAGGCCAGATGCTCTTTACCAGAGACCTTAAACGGGTCACAGGATGTTCCACAGCCGGGAGTGGCAACTTCACGTCACCAAACTGAGGCCCAGGGAGAAACACTGCGAGATGGACCGACTCCGGGGCTCTCAAGTGTTTTAAATCCTGGCAACCAACAAAACTCAGTCTAATTTTGGTGACCAGCACATGGTTGGTGGCTAACTTTCCCAGCGTGTCATTAAACCAAAAAACAAGAACCACTATTTTATCACTGCGTCTTAAAAGGACTTGTTCTCATTTTAAAAATATGACAGTGACATGTCCTCACAAAAACCAAATCGTAGTGTAAATGCAATGAAGTTAGGGAGAGAAAACGTACCAAGATTGTCGTGACCATGTGTGTACAAAGTCCCAAAGGACCTGTGAGCCTCTGACAATCCCTGAGTAAGTGCATCGAGGTTACTCGGTGCAAGGTACAAGGTCAATACGCAAAAGCCAACCGTAATCTTGTATGCTAGCAACAAGCAATTGGAAATTGAAATAAACACACACTGTATGACAGCCCCAAAGAACATCAACATTTAGCAATAAATCTTATGAAAGATTTCAAGACGTATACACTGAAAAGGCAAAGCACTGCTGAGAGAAAACAGCACCTCCTGGTCTGAAAGACTCAGCATTACGGAGATTTCAATTTTCCCCAGATCGATCTATAGATTCAAGACACTCCCAGACAGCCCAGCGGGCGTGGCTCAGAGGCTGAGCCTTGACCTAGGATCCAGGAGGTCACGGTTCGATATCTGGTCCTGACACAGGCCCGGGTTGCAGGCTCCTCGATCCCCAGTAGGGGGCGCAGAGGAGGCAGCTGATCAATGACTGACTCATCATTGATGTTTCTCTCTCTCTCTCCCTCTCCCTTTCTTTGTCTGAAACCAATAAAGACAAATTGAAAGGAAAAAAAGACACTCCCAGATAAAGGTCAGGAGATGGTGTTTGTGTTGGGTGGGTGTGGGCGGGTGCTCATAAACTAACAAGCTGGTTCTAAATGTGACGCAGAAATGCAAAGAGCCCAGGGTAACACCCAGGATGGTCCCGAAGAAGTTTTGGCCGCCAGATACCAAGGCTTCCTACGAGGCTGCTGTGATCGCCGACGGCCATGGTGCAAGCACAGACTAACAGACAATGACAGAACAATCCAGAGGCCGGCCACCCACTCACAGTCGCCTGGTATTAAGCACTGAAATAAGCGTGAGCTACACACGTATTTAAGGCAGGTTAATAAAAACAAGTGAGGTCGTTATTGTTGAACCAGCTTATTCCATCCAGCCCCGAGTCAAGGGGTGGCCGAAGCCTCCCCTGCCAGCTAAGACACAGGCAGAGCCCTTCCATCGCAGGGCCACCTGCATCCGCACCAGCACCGCTCCGGCTGGGACAGTTCAGACGCACGGATTTGCCTAACATGCATGTCTCTGGGAGGTGGGAGGAAACACAGGACCTGGAGAAAGCCCCCGCGGACAGGGAGGGCTGGCGCACGCCACGCAGAAGGTGACCCCGCCAGGAACTGTTTTTTACTTCCTGTCAACCTTGCACAGTGTTATCCGAGGACCTGCTGTATGTCGTTAAGAATCTCCAAATGCATCCCTCATACGGTCACAGTAGATAAACTGACATCTGCCGTTACACTGTAAGAAATCAACTATAGGACAGATAGAAAATTGTATTTTCTCTCCATCAGGAGGCTCAGAATGGAGCCCACTGGCAGGAGCAGAGGTCATGGAAAACGGGCCCAGGCTACCAGGAGGAGCCGGGCAGGGGGCGACCTGGGGATAGGAGGGGAGGCGGCGCCAGGTCTGCATGTGGTCAGTGCCACGTGGTGATGTCCCCTCTGGTCTCCGGGACCTACCTTCACTTGCTCGAGAGGCAACACTCCTGACGTCTAGTGAGCTTTTTCTCTTGTCTTTATGTTTACCTGACTGATGATCTGTGGAAACAAATTATTAAATCAACTCATTGGAGGGGTGAAAAGCTACCAATTACCATTAGAAAAATGACCCATCTAAACTTTTTTAAAAAGCAAAAGTTAAGAATTGGAACACTATTTAAGTTGCAACAAGAAACCAACACAGCACACAGAGAAGGCAACAAAAATGAGGTCTTCAGGGGGGGTGACTTTCTCAGAACATCCCACATGGTACAATCACAGACAAGTGCTTTCCAGGTTCCAGATCATAATCAGAGTCCCAAGACGTGAAGTGAGAACTAGTTAGATGAGGCCCGGCCGGTGTGGCTCAGCGGTTGAGCATCAACTTATGAACCAGGAGGTCAGGGTTCGATTCCCGGTCAGGGCACATGCCCGGGGTGCAGGCTCCTTGATCCCCAGTAGGGGGCGAGCAGGAGACAGCCGCTCAATGACTCATCATTGATGTTTCTATCTCTCTCTCTCCCTTACTCTCTCTGAAATCAATTAAAAAATATATTTAAAAAAATAATAATAATATGGGGCACCATACCTGCGTGAGTGTCAGACCGAACACGTTCGGTTGTTTTCTCAGCCTAAAAATAAATTTTAAAAGCCGTGAGTTCTGATTGCCTGCAGGCGCGGTGGGAGGAATCTTGCTGGGGTGCAGCAGGCGCCCGAGGGTTCCCTCCCTTACCTACCTTATTGTTGCCATTGGACACTCTGATAATGGACACATAGTGTCTAATTTTTCTGCAAGGAGAAATCAGTACATTATTTCTCTCCCGGCTCTCCATGCTGATGGATACATAGCTAAGTACTTTTTACACCATGAAATGAGCATCTCCCTCCCACAAACACAAAGTGCCTTGAGAAAAGCACTTGTATGGCTTGTGGCCACGGCCACCAGTAAACAAGTATCGACAAACCATCCTTTGGTATCCATAGAAAGAAAGCTGAGTCTTCAGTAAAAACAACAAAATTCTTCCAAGTCGGCACAACATACAACCAGAAATACCCACAGCAGCGCAATTCTCAACAGCTAAGCCCTGGAAACAGCCCGAATGCCCACCAGTAGGTGAATGGATAAAAAGCTGTGGAGTACTATGCAGCCGTGAAAAAAGAGGGTTCTCTTAACCTTTGGGCAGCATGGAGGGAACTAGAAAGTATTATGCTAAGTGTAATGAGCCAGTCAGAGAAAGACAAATACCATATGATCTCACTCATATGTGGAATGTAATAAACAAAATAAACTCATGAACAAAGTGGATCCAGAGACATAGAAGCATGCAACAGACTGAGCGATCTCAGAGGGAAGGTGAAGGGGCAGGGGGCAGGGAGAGATTAATCAAAGAACGTATATGTTTATAAGCATAACCCATTGAGAAAGACAGTAGTGTGGTGAAGGTCTGGGGGAGTGGATGCTGGGTGGAGGGGATCAATGGTGGGGAGGAAGGGACATCTGTAATATTTAGAAAAATAAAGATAAGTTAAAAAAATAAATTAATAAAGCCCAGCTGGTGTGGCTCAGCAGTTGAGCATCGACCTAGGATCCAGGAGTTCGAGGTTCGATTCCCGGTCAGGGTACGTGCCCGGGTTGCGAGCTCGATCCCCAGCCCCGGTCAGGGTGCGTGCGGGAGGCAACCAGCCATGTCTCTCTCTCACGTCGATGTTTCTCTCTCTCTCTGTCTCCCTCCCTTCNAATAAAGCCCAGCTGGTGTGGCTCAGCAGTTGAGCATCGACCTAGGATCCAGGAGTTCGAGGTTCGATTCCCGGTCAGGGTACGTGCCCGGGTTGCGAGCTCGATCCCCAGCCCCGGTCAGGGTGCGTGCGGGAGGCAACCAGCGATGTCTCTCTCTCACGTCGATGTTTCTCTCTCTCTCTGTCTCCCTCCCTTCCACTCTCTCTGAAAAGCCATGAAAAAATATCCTCGGTGAGGCTTAAAAAATAATAATAATAATTTGACAGGTCTATGCAGCAATGTCACACCGGGTCAGGCTGCAGGCACGAGGAGGCCGCCCTGGAAGGCCATTCTTTGGGGACACCTGACCTATGACGAGTCCTTTCAAATTTCTGCACGCGGCTCTTCACTTCCTTAGCTGCTGAAAGCACATTTTACAATAAGCCAGACACAGTACGCTGATCAGGGCGCTTGTTTCTGCACTTACCCTCCCTGCCCGACGACAGGGATTATGTTCACATTTTGCTGTACGTTGTCTCCGTTCTTGGCATAGTAAACGCCTTTCCACTCCTACAAATGCAACGTAAGCTTCGTCACGCTCTGTGCTCGAAACAGGAACCCAAGACCATTTTGCACTCCAGGTTCCGACTCACTGGCCATTGCTAAAGTAATGATCACAGAGCCCATCCCAACCGCCCCCCCCCTCCCCGCTACACACAATCCTGGGTAATCTGAGAATTTCCTTCTCTCCCTCCCAAGTCCACCTCCTCCCGGGACCGCGGACACAAGCCAGGCGACCACAGTCTACGTGGCCCTATGTTTCTGGTGGCACACGGGAGGGAGGCTTTTTTTTTAAAATGCCGTATGAACAAATGAGGCTCCGAGAAACTGTTGGGCTCAGGCGGGTTCTGAGAATGTGTCACCTCATGGGCCGGCCTTTACCCGGGAACCATCTGCCCACATCCACCGCTCAGAAGATCAATTATTACAAAGATCAACTCACTTATGACAGCGATGAAAACAATGGCTTTAAGCGTCAATTAAAGTTACTCTGATTACTGGCAAATCATACTATGTATATACACACACACGCTTTCTCGGCCTCAGTTTTCTCATCTGCAAAATGGGCATGACAGGGAAAATACCACTATGCTTCTGCCCTGCTAGGAAGGGTAACGCTGAGCCTGCCTGGCACGGGCCATGCTCGGTGGGCGCCAAGTCTCCTCCCTTCCTTGCCTGTTACGGCAAAGCAAGAAAGGTGCTAACCTCTTACTTACCTTGCCCTTCTTGATGCATGAATTTATGGTATCGAGCAAATCAGCCTTTTTTTCATTTATAGGCATCTTTTCTAACTCCTTTCCTATTAATTCACCTGACTCGTAGCCCATTATTGTTTCGAATGCAGGATTGGCATACTGCGGGGAGAAGAAGAAAAAAAAAAAAGCAACATCGAGTGAATGAAAAGAAGTTTTGAGAAGAAGACTAGGAAAACCATTCCACCCAAGCCACCACCTCTCCCCTGTGACGCTCAGGAGCCTGGAGCTTCAGAAGCCGTAGAAACACAACCCCCGGAGAACCCTGGGGTCCGAAGGAGCCTCTGCCGCGGCGTCACCTGGCTGGGCCTCCTACACTGTCCTCTCGAGGCTCCAGGAAGTTAGCAGGTCCCTTCCCGGGGAACCGACAGACCCGGGGCTGCTTGGATCACGAGCAGGGGCACAAAGCAGCAGGCTGGGGCCCGAATCAGCCAGCTTCTGCCCCCGCACGTCCCCTCTGCCCCTCCAGGCCTCAGACTGCACGTCTGTTTCATGGGGAGGAAACATCTCCCCTCTCGCGCGATGCAAATGAATAGTTGGAAAGCAGGCTGCGAGCTGGGAGGTGCTTGCAAATGTGAGGCTTTGTGGTTAAATTTCCAACAGGCCCAGAAGAGTAGGAGAAACTGTTTGGAAAAGCTGGGCATGTGCCAATAATAATAGTAATGATGATGGTGATGTGAGCGTGAGCACAAAATAATCGACGCTGTGTAGGGCCGTTTTTCCCTGGTGAGCTCTCCAGTAAGCGCTCCACACGTGCAAACTCAGCCCTCGGAACATCCTTACCAAAGGTAGGTTGCTGTTCACGTTAATGTTTCTCTCATCTGTATGGATGGGAGAGCAGATTCAGACAGTGACTTGCCCGAAGGCGCTCAGCTGGGCAGGGGCTGAGGCCTGTCTGACACCAAGCCTGGGCCCTCAACCACTGGCCCCTGGGCTGCCTCTCAGGGCACCAGCTCCTGACTGTCGGCGGCATCAACTCTTTACCAAGAAAGAGTCACATGTTGCCTGACCGGGTGAGGCTCAGCGGTTGAGAGACAATCTAGGATCCAGGAGATCACGGTTCGATTCCCGGTCAGGGCACATGCCTGGGTTGCGGGCTCCTCAACCCCCAGCAGGGGGCGAGCAGGAGGCAGCCGATCCATGACTCTCTCTGATCATTGATGTTTCTCTCTCTCGCTCTCCCTCTCCTTTCCTCTCTCTGAGATCAATAAAGACATATTAATTTTTTTTAAAAAGATAGAAAGCCTGGGGTGCTCAGAGCTAAGTTGAAGTGCAGCTACCCGCAGACAAAAGGAACCTTCCCTGGCACGACTCCCTCTTTGGCTGTCGCTACACGGGCCAGCCCCGCTATCTCCAGTCACCAACAGACACCCACTTTGCTAATAACGGGAAAGCTGTTGGGCAATCACTCGGTCATTTCTGAAATTTCAAGTAGTTTCTCCTAACTCTCTATAAGTGTAAACTACCTTCAAAGACAGTGAGAACTCAGACGCCTTAGAGTCAGAGCCTTCTTCCTTGTGCTGTGTCCCTAACCCCTCACCCCGCCAATAATAAACCCTCCTCGGTAAAAGTCTCACCTTAAACAAACAGTAATTATTAGTACCTCTTTGTACCTACAGGGAACCTATTTTAAATGACATCTTTTATAGAATTGGTCCTGATAATCCTCTGTGGGAAAACTGGTCTCTTGAACTTCAAAAAGAAATCGTAATGGAAGGGGTTCAATCCTAAAGACGAGAACAGGGCCAGAGACCTGGACGGACAAAGTCGCCAAGGTGACAAACCTGAATCAGGTGATCCTCACTTGTAATTTCAATGGCATCTTGGCTTTTCTCTAACGCGGTGAATACTGAGTTGCAGGCCCTTTATGGGTAGGGAGGGAGAAAGAGCACAGATTAGCGTAAAAACTACACACTCACTTAACTGTGTGTTTTGTCTGATTATAAAGGTAAGTGATGCTAATTCAAACAAGAAGGGAGGGCCGCCTTGGCCGGAGTGGCTCAGCGATTGAGCGTTGGCCTAGGATCCAGGAGGTCGTGGTTTGATTCCAGGTTGGGGGCACATGCCCGGGATGCAGGCTCCTCGATCCCCAGTAGGGGGCGAGCAGGAGGCAGCCGATCAATGACTCATCATTGATGTTTCTCTCTCTCCTCTTCTCCCTTCCTCTCTCTAAAATCAATAAAAAACCCCAATGTATTAATAAAAACTAAAAATAAAAAGCAGAAGACAGTGGCCTGAAGAGGAAGGTGAGTAGGCATAATCCACAGGTACTTACAAAGAAAAATGGCCAGGACTTGGGGTGTGATGGGAGTTAGGTAGCTGTGAGGGAGACACACATGGGGGGGCTCCCTTCCAGGACCTCAGGGTGGGTGATGCTTGGTTCACTGAACTACGGTGTCCAGGAAGAAAAGTGGGAGGTTCCAGGTAGGTTGAGGGATGGAGGTGGGACAGTGACTGCAGTTTTGAACGTTAGATAGCTTTGCTATTGGCTGCTCGGGAGATCTGGGCTGTCTGTTAACCTCCCTGGTTAACTTTCTGGATCTTGATTGGACAAAAATCAGCTCTCCCATCACCTCCTGCTCCACAATCCTACTCCACTCAGAGATTTTATTTTATTTTGTTTTTNAAAATCAGCTCTCCCATCACCTCCTGCTCCACAATCCTACTCCACTCAGACAGATTTTATTTTATTTNTTTTAAAAAAAATATGTTTTTATTGATTTCAGAAAGAGGAAGGGAGAGGGAGAGAGAGAGAAACATCAGTGATGAGAATCATTGCTCAGCTGCCTCCTGCGCGCCCCCTGCTGGGGATCAAGGAGCCTGCAACCCGGGATGTGCCCTGACTGGGAATCGAACCTCGATCTCCTGGTTCATAGGTCAACGCTCAACCTCTGAGCCACACTGGCCAGGCTGGTGCCCCATCTTTAAATCTGAGTCTCCAGTGACTAACATGACCACTTACTTACATGCCCAGGCAGACTCCGATAGTGTATGTGGAGAGCAGCCAGGAGGTAGGTTACCCCTAAAAGGCAGCCGTCCACAACCAGGTCCTTGTTTGCAACCTCCCTGGATGGTGTGGGGGGCTATCCAAAGGCAGAATTACCTGAGTTTCAGCTGTGATCGCACCTCTCCAAACTCCAGCTGGAGTAGCTCTGTGTAACAGGCCAGGAGGCTTGGGTTTTCCACATACCTCTGCAAGCAGAAAGGGGGTTTTGTAGATAAACAAATGTGCACCGTTAAGTTATTATGTCTGTCAACAAAAATAATTGTTTTCAACAAACTTCTCAATTTGGTAACTGAAATCAGAGGATTTGGGTCGTGTGCATGTCGCTAGCAGAGGCTAGATGTTAGAAAGAAGAAATTTACCAACTGAGGTCCTACATACACTGAGGTTTCTTGGCTACCTCTACCTCAGGGCTATAAATTTAGGCTACAAATCCCCCAGGGGTCGGCCTTACACAGGTTCTCTCCACCACGATTCCCAAGGCAACCAGGGGACCAAGGCCTTCCACCCTTGGGCTCAGGAGAAGCCAACAGACTGGAGCTGGGGGTGGAGAGAAGGGAGCTGTGTCCGGGTGGCCTTATTTCCGGGATCCCTGAACGGACTTTAAGGTTCTAACAACACTCCCTGTGGTATAACTTTCAGTGAGTGTGCCACGAAAGATGATTTTTAACAGGCATAGTTCTGTTGCTGTTAATCCTTACCTAAGGATTTTTATAGAGAGAGGGAAGTGGGGGGAGAGAGAGAGAGCCTGCAACCCAGGTACATGCTCTTGACTGGGAATCGCACCCACGACCCTTCGGCGCACAGGCTGCCACTCTAACCGCTGAGCCACACCGGCCAGGGCCACAGGCATCGTTTTGAGAGATTAAGCAAGCGAGGTGCTGTAGGTTATTCGATTGCCAGGTTATAAAGTTAAACGAAGACGGAGCACAGCAGCACAACACCACCACTTTTTTTTCCCCCCTTCAGATTAATTCAAAACCTTCGCAGGCTCCGAGCTGAGATAAGATCCCTTCTCACGCTGGATTATACTTGCGTGATAAATAAGGGGCGCGTACCCTCGTAAAGCCAGCAGCGATGAGAGGTAAAATGGAGTTCTCGTCTCCATCCCGCCTTCAAAAGAACACAGCAAACGGTCAGAGACGATTAATATCGATTGCGCCTCGGCCCTTGACGCACTGATTTGCGGTAACAAGTCTAACCATCCTAGAACGACTACTTTTAGCTGCATTAAAGTAATATACAAATCACAAGTATAAAATGAAAAACAGTTTCCTGTTTTAGTTCACATGGGGCTTTTTGGCAGTATGTAGTCATCCTTGAATTATTACAAGTTACACTAACAGCCAGAATACAGGAGTGACCACATTATCTAGGTAAACATCTGAATTGTTTCCCATTTTATATCACTGCCTGTTTATTTAAAAAAAAAAAAAAAACATCCCGGAGGGAGGGGGAAACAGGTAAAGGGGTCAACAGGAGGAATCCAGAGTTTGGTGATGGGCAAGATGTGATTTCTAAAGCGAAAGGCAGCCCGAGGTCACAAACCCAAGCACGAGAGCAGAAACCCTCGCCTGGCCACGCAGTTCACTGGCAAAGCCAAAGAAAATAAGAAAAAAAACTACAAAGAGAGGGGCAAACCGGGAAGGGCCACGCGGTGGCAGCCTGCAAGCTGCCACCCGGCCGCTGCTGAGAGCACGCAGCACATTAATGCACACGTTTCAAAGTCAAAAAAAGAAGAAAAAGAAAGCTTACTTGCGTACCACACCAACGATAACTGTGTTTTCTGAGGCTTTGTATGATCGAATAGACCTATTAAGAAAAAAAAATAACAAAAAAACAAATTTTAAGATAAATTTAAAACATTTCTTTAAAAATTAAAAACCCTTAAACAGTTTTGGTAGAACAAGGAGAGCTGGGGGGGGATTCTCCTTCTTGGCGGCTTTGCCCTTTCTGTTCCCCCAGCTGCTAGCTTATCTATCATCTTAGCTTTGTTTTTGGGGGGGCTTTTTGTGGGGTTTTTTTGCAGAGAGAGGAAGGGAGAGGGAGAGAAACATCAGTGATGAGAGCCATGGATCAGCTGCCTCCTGCTCGCCCCCTGCTGGGGATCGAGGAGCCTGCAACCCGGGCCTGTGCCCTGACTGGGAATCGAACTGCGGCCTCCTGGATTCTAGGCCGATGCTCAACCGCTGAGCCACACTGGCCAGGCTTTCTCACTGGCCAGGTTTTTAACAAAGCAAAGCGAAACCAAGCAAGAAGTAAAGATCAGACCCAGGAATAATGCTGCTCTAATCGAAGGCCTTGCTTATTTTATGCACACGGAAGGCAACGTAATGGACGCTGAATTTAATTTAATGTATTTCTGGGCAGCAGCGGCGTTGTCACAAGTGCCAGGGACCACTGAGGCCCGCATGTCAGGCTCACCTGCATAGCAACTCCGCATCCAACTGTCGGGGGGACCTGTAGTCTATGATGATGATGTCATGAAGTGTAGCCAGGAAACAGGCAAGCACAGCCTTCGCCTCCCTGGTAACCGTGTACTTGAACCCTGCCTTTTCGCACGCCTTACGGAACCCTTTACACTGGTTGTCGTCTTTGGTAAACACCAAAAGTACCTGAATCAAAAAAGCATAAACACTTAAAAAAAAAAAAAATGTTGGAATTTCATTTCTTAACATGCCACAGAAAACTCCCCAGTGTTTTGTTTCTTTTAAAAAAAAAATCATCTTTATTGATTTCAGAGAGAGGAAGGGACAGGGAGAGAGAGAGAGAAACATCAATGATGAGAGTCATGGATTGGCCGCCTCCTGCTCGGCCCCTGCTGGGGATTGAGGAGCCTGCACCCCGGGCATGTGCCCTGACCGGGAATCGAACCGCGACCTCCTGGATCCCGGGTCGATGCTCAGCCGCTGAGACAGGCTGGCCGGGCTCCCACGTGTTTTGATGCGAGTACACAGATGTGAACATAATCTGCTGACATAAATCCTCATTCATGTAGCTCACAGACATTATCTCTCAGCTCCTGGAAACCAGTGCTAGTCTGTCTGCTCTGAGCCTGGGAGTCCAAGTACATGGGTCACAGGCTTACTTCTTTTGCTAATAAACTGTGGGCACAACTTAACAAAGGGTTGATCAGGCTCTTGATCTTGACACTAAATCAATTAAACCGCACACACATTTACTTTAGTGCACAGTAAGTTCACTAGGGAAGTCCTTAGAAGGGAAACACTAATTTCAAGTGAAACTCCTAGGACACTTAATACTTTATATTATGTATGTAAATGTTTTGACTCAAGATTGTGTGAGCCTGGGCAGCGTGGCTCAGTGGTTAAGCATCAACCTAGGATACAGGAGGTCGAGGGTCAATTCCCGGTCAGGGCACATGCCCGGGGTGCGGGCTCCTTGATCCCCAGCAGGGGGCGTGCAGGAGGCAGCCGATCAATCACTCTCATCATTGATGTTTCTCTCTCTCTCCCCCCCTTCCTCTCTCTGAGATCAATACATTAAAAAAAAAAAAAAAAGAGCCTGAACTTCATTTAAAAAATAAAAGACTAATTTTAATGTATAACTGTAGGCCCTCTTCCTCCCCACCTCTTTAAAGGAGATCAACATGAGAAAATTACAGCATGGTTTATCATTACCTGGAGTTGATCTGGATGAAATCTCATGGGGCCAAATTGCACATCAGTGTCTCCTCCCTGTAAGAAAAAGATCTGCTTAAATATCTCTATATATGCAAGCCTGTTTAAAATTTTTTTATCTAATCAGACCTACAGCTGAAAGTGCAATCTCTAGTCCAGAGAAAAGTTACCTAGAGAGTACATGGTTATTAGACAGAGGAATCCCAGGGATCTCCTTATAACCCCAGGAAAGGTGGAGAGCAGGGAGGGGAAATGAAAGGAGTGGGATCTCAGCTTCTCTTTTCCTAGCTGCGTGTGACTTTAAGTGAGCTCTTCAACCTCCCTTAGGCTCAGTCTCCCATTTGTTCCAAAGATCAAATGAGATTACGATATAAAGAGCCCCCAAAGGTTAGACCCTGACGGCACATGGGTCCTCCACAGGCACGAGGTCTGCGGCCTCTGATGCAGGAGACTCATGACATTTGCTATGAAGAATCATATAGATTAAAAACATAGTCTTAGCCCGGCCGGCGTGGCTCAGTGGTTGAGCGTCGACCTAGGATCCAGGAGATGGGGGTTCAGTTCCCGGTCAGGGCACATGATCCCCAGTAGGGGGCGTGCAGGAGGCAGCCGATTGATGACTCTCATCATTGATGTTTCTCTCTCTCCCTCCCTCTGAAATCAATAAAAATTAAAAAAATAAATAAATAAAAGAATTGTGAATTGTGCCTCAGTCTAATTTTAGCAGTATCATTTAAAAACATTACCGTTTTGGCCTGAATGCTTTATTTACTTAATGAGATTGCATTCGAACCTGACATCCTGCCCACGGGGTATATATATCCGGCTCTCAGGACCTCTGTGGAGCAGGGGCCCAGTCAAGTCTGACAACTACTTACCGCGGCACCTCTCCCCCCAGAATAACCACCACCAGGAACCGTGATGACATCACGCAGGGAGCGGACGTCAGCGGTGGGCCCTCGGAGAATAAACAGTTTCCCAGTGGCTACGGGAATTCGTGTGCGTGTCCCCTCTTTGTGTATGGAAATCAGTATCAAACTGACACAGCCCTCTTAATAATATTTATTTTTTACACTAATATTTAGAAGGGAAAAGTCACTTTCCCATTAATTTTAATAAGGTAGCTTGGATTTAACCTCTCAGCTTCGAAAGCAACGGGTATTTTTAGGTAACAGGGAAACAGGCTGTTCACGGGCCGACGCTGATAGTTGTACAAGCTGTTGAGTTCAGTCTTTTGGATTTTTAAATATTTATGTATTTGTTAAGATTTCTTGTTATGGAAAGATTGTAAAATTAGGAGTATCACCTAAGGATAATGTCTGTTCGTATTTTAACATTTTAAAGCACTCCTCATAAACGTGGCTAACAGGAACACAAACTAAGTTATTATTGGACGCTTTGGTGAAACACATGTCAGATTTCTTTCTGTTCTCTTTTTCCCCTAAACGACCTAACATCATTTAGACGTGATTCTAGAGGGCAAAGTTACTAGTTTATGGATCTTGATCATGGTAGGGGTGGGACAGGAAAGAGATGTATGATTCTTAGCCACCGTTTACCGCAGTACTAGTTTTATTGTTTATCTTCTTTACTGTCTGTCTCTCCCACTAGGATGTAAGTTCCATGGAGACAGGGATTTATCTGCTTTACACATTGCTATATTTCCAGTACCCAAAACAGAGCCTGGCACCTGGCGGGCATTCGTAAGATATTTTTTTAAATATATTTTTATTAATTTCAGAGAGAGGAGGGGAGAGGGAGAGAGAGAGAAACATCAATGGTGAGAGAGAGTCATCCATGGGCTGCCTCCTGCACGCCCCCTGCTGGGGATCATGTGCTCTGACCTCCCGGGAATCGAACCACAACCTCCTGGTTCATAGGCTGACGCTCAATCGCTGAGCCACGCCGGCTGGGCTCATTTTAATTTTTTTAAATAGATCCATTTGGCTACGTGTGGAGAAAGGACAGTGGGGGGGGGGTGAGAA